CAGACAGGTTCATGGTGAAAATTAAAATTTCAACTTTGTTTTAAGGAACTTTTAAAGAGTTACAGTTATGTCATGTGTCATAAAGGGTAACAAAAGTCTTAACATTTGGAAAAATTTTGTTTGCATTGTATTAACTGTGTGAAAAAGGTGTAAATTATGTCAAAATGAGAATGTTCAAAATAAAGAGGTAAAGGATATTTCCTTCAGTTAAATAGTATAGTTGGAACTTTTTCCTCTTTAACATGGCTTTTTTAAATGCATGGTTGATAATTTTGTTTTCAATAATTAATAGCTTATTAATGTTTTCCTCACCTCTAATAATGAATTTTAAATTGCAAAAAATTGTCCAATAGCTTTAATTTAAAAATGAAACTAGATATTGAAATAAATTTGATACTTTTTTATAAAGAGGTCCTGAGCTTTTTTGGGGGGGAGGGGATAATAATTCAGGTTAGATACGTTGCAGAAGTTAAACCTTACAAAGGATTATGAATTTCATTTGTAGATAAGCATACAGCTGATCCTTGAACAACACAGGGTTAGGAACATTTGCCCTCCCTCGAAATCGAAAATAACTTATAAGTGGACCCTCACTATACAGTGTTCCTATGTGCAGATTCTCTGTATCTGCAGTTCCGAGGTTCCTCTGTACCCACAGTTTCTCATCCAACCCTGAATCATGCAGTATTGTAGTACTTACTATTGAAAAAACTGTATAAGTGACCCCACACAGTTTGGACCCGTGTTCTTCAAGGGTCAACTGTACTTGTAAAAGTTGAGAGCAATGTTCCTCCAATATGAGAACCTAAGGACCTGTGAGAATGTTTATGGGCTGGTTTGAACAAGACTTAATTACTATTACTTTAGGTTGTCAGTTTCTTCCTGATGCCAGGGCAAGCAACACACTGCAACTCCAGGCACTGAAATAATTCAGTGTTTCATTACAGATTAGTTATTCAGGTGATCTTGGATGTGCTTTTTGTATTACTGAAATTAAAATTTTTAGTTATCTACTAAAGCTATGGTTTCACTATGGTTTCATTGTTCATTTTGACAGTTAAAAGGTATTTAACTAAAATAGGGTTTCTCATGGTTCTTGTTGGTCTTAATACAATTTTGTAGTTCTTTGACATAGGCTGTTGTTTCTTCAGCTTTTCCCATTTATAGAGCCATTTTATACATTTGAGATCAACAGGGTTTTACAATATGTCTCTGTATGTTGTGTGTTTTGCAGGGGTAGGGATGTATTACATCCTGATAAACCCATTACAGATTGAGAATTTACTGAATAATGTACTGAAAGTGAGAAACAGGATGGTTGTGTGGGAACAGGATGAGTGTGGGTATCAGTTGTTTACTTGCAATTGGGTGACTGGCAGCTGTGGCTCCATGCCACTGCTCAGCATCAACAGTGTACTAGCGTATACCACTAGCCTGAGATAAGGTCAAACTTCAACAGTTTCTGTTCAGTATCATAAAGTTGAAAAATTAAGTTGGGGACTTAATTATTATGAGGTTTGATAATTATTGTGAGGTTTGATATTCTTTAGAAAAATCAGTCTTGTTATAACATACTATTACAGTTGAATCCCATTTACTGTTACCCAGAATACTTCTTTTAAAAACTACCAACCTATTATGTTGTTTCTGAAGTTCTTAGTAGTATAATCAATTACCTTTTATGGCTGGTTTTGAAGGAAAAACAAGACTGCCTATAACAAACATTATACTGCCTCCCTCCCCAAAAGTTTGTGTATCAGAATTTGACCCATAGTGTCCTGTGGTAAACTTAAGTATGGTGTTATTGTATCAGATGTGCAAGGGCATTTTAAACTTATTTCCTGACATCACAGTGAGCAAAAGAAATAGGCTTCTGATGCAATGAGCTGGAAACCCAATGCTGAGATCACTATAACAAACAGCTTCTCACCTATCCTTAGGGGCACTTGATACCTCATCTGGTTTTAAGTTAGAGGAAGTGTGATTCCTATTTAGGAATGATTGTTTTTATGTTTGCAGTTGAGTATAGGCTCACTTGGATTTGCTTCATATCTGTAATAAATGTATAAGGACAAATTCTGTATTTCTCAAACATATTAAAAGGGGTTCTGTGTTCAAATGCCAAAAGTTTTGGAAACGGGGTAAAGCAATTCATTTCTGCATGATTTCTTGGAGTCTTTTAGGTTACGTTGATTATCATAGACTTTCCTCCCCTCTTTTCTGCCCTTCTTCAAAGAACACAGTTTGAGAAAGCCTAGTCTAAGTGAATTCAGGTTACATTTTAAATAGTGTGCTTAATAAGATAGCATTAAAAAAATCAATATGATGGTACTGAATCAAGGTTGATAAAAGTAAGAAATAAATAACAGAGCTGTTTGTAAAAATAGGGATGAAAAAGGATAACATAGTGCAGAAAATTATTTTTTTTTTAAAAATTTTTAATTTCAGATATCTAACAGGCTAGACTTACATGGTTAAACCCAACAAGCAATACATGTATACTTGAACAATTTGTGTAATAAGGGCTTTGGGGAGAAAAATGCTATATGCGTGTATAGCATAGGCATAAAAAGGAAGGATTTATCTGAGAGGAGTTAAGGCATATGTGACACTATTTTAAAATGAACATTTTAACTTCTGAACTTAAAACTGCATGGGTTTGGAGTCTGTCTTGAAGAGATGATGAAAAACATTTTCATTAGAAAACTTGCAAATACCCCAAATAAAACTATTTAAAATATGAAATACAGTAGACAAGTAAATATTTTATGTAAAATTTTGATTCTGCAGTGCATGTGTCTGGCCTAAAAGCCTTGTATAAAAACAAGATTGTTTAGAAAGGCAGTCTTAATTAGGTCAAGTTCATAGTCTCGTTTTTATGTAGGACTAAATGTTCTCAGAACCCTGTTCTGATACCACCTAACAGTATAACCAGTCATTCTAAAAATGTTAGTCTAGAGGGAAGTAATGTGGATGGATTACTACAAACTTTATCCTCATCTTTTAAAATCACTTTGAAAGTGCACACTTTAATAGTGGGCCAGTATCATCATCTTACTGTTAACTACTGGCTAAGATTTTATTTTTCTAAAACAGTTATTTTAAAATGAAAACTATACAAAATTAATGTAAATTCTGTCATATATATTAAGATACTTTTAAACGCCCACTCCAGTATTCTTGCCTGGAGAATCCCATGGACAGAGGAGCCTGGTGGGCTACAGTCCATACGGTTGCAAAGAGTAGGGCAGGACTGAGTGAGCACACATGCACACACGAAACAGCCTACACGGCAAACATCTGTAAAAGATGTATACAGAATACAATTAATAAGCTGGTAGGAATTTGGTAGTAGAAGCATTCTATTCTAGCATGTTAGAATTTATAATTTTTCCTGTAATCAAGGATTCAAGACCATGTTACTTTACAGTCAATTACACAACAAATTTTATGCTTTTATATTGCCTAGGAGCTAGTTCCTTTCTTTGCCAAAATGTAATACTACTTTATAATAATGTAAACAGACAGAATAATTAGCCTGATAGTAACTGGGCTGCTTGAATGTTAATATTACATAAGGGCTTTTTTGGTCATTCCTTAAGTATTATGGTGATTACATTTGATTACTTGTTTTTAGTGTAACAGTTTATCAATGTTTCTGTAGTTTATTTCTTAAGCAATTAAACATTTTACCTTCTATTAAGTAAAAATCTCAACCTATGTGTCTTTAGGAATGCATTATTAAACACTTAACCAAGGATTTTCTTATATTATTCAGAGCATTAAGATCTGAGTCTTTTTTTCAGTCCATGTTTATTGAGTAGTTATTACAATGCCAAACACTGTTGGGTGATCTCTATATTAGAACTATTAGAACTATATTAGAATTAGAACTGGGAGAGGGATTTGGGAGAAAATGGATACATTTTATGGCTGACTCCCTTTGCTGTTCACCTGAAACTACTATAACATTGATAATCAGTTGTACCCCGATACAAAATAAAAAGTTCAAAGTTTGAGAAAGAAAACCATAAATGGAAAAAAAAAAGGAATTAGAACTGTTAGCAATAGAAACTTGGTTGTGCACTTCAGAAAGTGTATGACCTTTCTAAAACACATTTGTATATAATCTGTTTTAATGTTATCACGTATCTATACTTTTCTTCAATATACAAATCACTGTAATCTCGATTAACAGTGGAATCACTTTCTGAGAACTCTGCTCTATTTTCCATTTCTTCAAAGTAATTTTTAATCTCACAGAACTAAACTATTACCTTACCATTTCTTTGTTTACTGTCCTTTCAGACTATTGTGATAGATTCTTTACTTCTACTGGTTCAAATTCCTTTCTTTAAAATTCCAACCTCAATCCCAACATAAACTAGCTTTTGTCCCATCTACTCATCAAGATAGTTTTTTTTTTTAATCAAGTAAATTTTCTTGGCCTCCACATGCCTCATCCAAGTTTATGTTTTTGATTAGTCCTTTAGAATCTTACTGTCCTTTAGAATCCTTTAGAATCTATAGAAATAGCAGTCTTCTTCTAAGCTCAATATTTACCTTACCATTTCTACCTAGATATATGGGAGCAATCCAAAGAGGGAAAAATCTAAGAAAATTCATTAACAGAGAATTTCTATATTCTCTAATTTCTATAGATCCTTTAGAATGATAGAAATTAGTCCTTTAGAATCTATAGAAATAGCAGTCTTTTCCTGAGTTCAATATTTATTTACCCTTACCATTTCTACCAAGATATATGGAAGCAAATAAAAGAGGAAAAAACTAAGCAAAGTCATAAACATAAACCAAGTGAAGGATTTAGGTCTACAAGATGCTAGGTTTTGATGGTTGATAACCTCACACTTATGCAACAGTAAAAACAAGATCTTAAGCTTAATGGAAAAGAGAACTATAGTAGAGTTGGAAAGCACAAAGTAACTTTTCACTTTTATTTGTTAAAACAGTCACATAAATAAAATTTTACCACGGCACATTCACTGATTGTGGCCCTTGTCATCCTGTGGCAGCCAGGATCCTGGCTGAAAGGTTTTGCCACTGCTGGTGGGAGCCACGGAGGGTTCTTCTTTTCCAAAGTATGGAGCAGAGGCATGCCCTTTAATCTGAGTCTGAAGTGGTGGAGCAAGCTCCTTGTTGCTCTCCTGAAGAAGCTTTTCTTTTTCATAAAAATCTTGGCTTTTCATTTGAATTTCTTCTCTATATTTTTCATTCTTCATTATTTCCTGCATGCATGTATACATGGAACAAATCATTAAATTTCTAGTTAGAAGAAAACCCAAACTACAGGTTTTATAAAAATAAAATAGCTAGTAAAAAAATAAAGTACATATAGACATGATTCTTGCTTTACATTTAAATAATATATAGATACCTACAGGGTAACTCTGAAAAAGCTATATGATTATATATTGATGCTATTTTGAATTAAATAGCTATGTCCTGGTATACAATAATAAAAAGATAGGAGGGAACACGAAATAGAGATACTTACTTCCCAGGAAGTGAAACAAACCACTTAACATGAAATATTAGTACATATAGATATGAAATATTACACAAGAACATAAAAGTCACTCTTATCAAAAGATTTTCCAAATATAACAGCTATTTATGTGTACTTCTACTGAAGATGAAGTGATGGTGAGAAGGCCTCAGAGAGGTGCTCCTGCCAGCCTTTTCTCTGTGGGAGTTAATGCATGCCAGGACCAAGACCCACCAATTTTCCTTTTTCCACCAGAGTGGTATGGCAGCGAAGAGGAGGACAGACACAGAATCAGAGTTCAGCATGCCTTAGACACCAGTTCCAAAAAGGCACTCTGCTTTAGAAATGCTTCCTCCAATCAGTGCAAGCAATTTGTGTGATCAATCACTCAGACTTGCTATTCTATTTGTAAGGATCTATACCCCCAAAACTGGAGAAGGAAATGACAACCCACTCCAGTATTCTTGCCTGGAGAATCTCATGGACAGGGGAGCCTGGTGGGCTATGGTCGTGGGACAGTCAAGAGTTGGACACGACTGAGCAGGCAGCACATAACCCCAAAAAACAATGAATCAATAACTGCATTTTACTGAAAATAAGACCATCAAATTTAAGATGCATCACAGATACGCACCACTAAAAAAGGCAATTAAACTTCACATTCTGATTTCAGAGATGTTAAAATTTGAAAAGATAAGCATCTTAAAAAACAGGTGAAATAGTTAAAAAAAAAAGTAATTTTTGCTTATCTGTATTTTCTGATTTTTCTTTAAGAAGGTCACAAAAACATCTGATATTTCTTGAAGAATATGCATGTTATTTAAAATGTGTATGTTGGTCATTTAATCGTGTCCTATTCTTTGTGACCCCATGGACTGAAACCCACTAGGCTCCTCGGTCCATAGAATTTTCCAGGCAAGAATACTGGAGTGGGTTGTCATTTCCTTCTCCAGGGGAATCTTCCTGACCCAGGGATCAAACCCAGATCTCCCACATTGCAGGCAGACTCTTTACTATCTGAGCCACCAGGGAAGTCCTGAATATTTCTTGAAGAATATGTGTGTTATTTATAATATGTTAACATAATTAATATCTGACAAAATTGTCAAAAACAAGTTCTCCCAAGTTATTTTTTAATATCAAGATTTTAAAAAATTACACATCTGGGTATTCAAAAGAATGATGAAATCTTTCTGTTTCTAACATGAATTTCAAGCAAATATAGTTCTTCAACAAGGTAAACACTGATATTTAAAATCACATTTAAAATAACGGTCTGTACTTCTAGGAAAAGATTTAGGGAGGTTATAACTGTAACTAAAGTAAAACTTCTAGACACAAAGAAGGATGCATCTAATAAAACTTCTCCCCCAAAGAAAACATGTGAAGGAGGGAATATTTATAAATGTTCCTATAACTTCCATAACACAGATCAATTCTGTATGAGTAGTTTAAAAACCATAGTAACTATGAGTTTAGAGATAGCTGCTATGACTGACAGTGAGAAGAGCCAGACTTTTCCTTCATATATATATCCTGTAGAATTCTCAGGCCAGGTGACCACTTGTCACAAACAAAGTCCCTCAATATGATACTGGAAATAATGGAAGTAGATGGAACTCTTTTTTCAGTCCGAGGCCATCTTCACTTCATCTCCAGACTCTTCAAGACCCTCTGAAATGATATGTCAGTATGAAAGCTCTTTCTCCTTGGCAGAATGAAAGGATCAGTTCAGTTCAGTTCAGTCGCTTAGTCGTGTCTGACTCTTTGCGACCCCATGAACCACAGCACGCCAGGCCTCCCTGTCCATCACCAACTCCTTTAGTCCACCCAAACTCATGTCCACTGAGTCGGTGATGCCACCAAACCATCTCATCCTCTGTCATCCCCTTCTCTTCCGGCCCTCAATCTTTCCGAGCATCAGGGTCTTTTCAAATGAGTCAGCTCTTCACATCAGGTAGCCAAAGTGTTGGAGTTTCAGCTTCAACATCAGTCCTTCCAATGAACACCCAGGACTGATCTCCTTAAGGATGGACTGGTTGGATCTCCTCACAGTCCATGGGACTCTCAAGAGTCTTCTCCAACATGACAGTTCAGAAGCATCAATTCTTCTGTGCTCAGCTTTCTTTATGGTCCAACTCTCACATCCATACATGACAACTGGAAAAACCATAGCCTTGATTAGATGGGCCTTTGTTGGCAAAGTAATGTCTCTGCTTTTTAATATGCTGTCTAGGTTGGTCACAACTTTCCTTCCAAGGAGTAAGTGTCTTTTAATTTCATGGCTGCAATCACTATCTGCAGTGATTTTGGAGCCCAGAAAAATAAAGTCAGCCACTGTTTCCCCATCTATTTGCCATGAAGTGATGGGACAGGATGCCATGATCTTAATCTTAATTCCAGCTTGTGCTTCTTCCAGACCAGTGTTTCACATGATGTACTCTGCATATAAGTAAAATAAGCAGGGTGACAATATACAGCCTTGACGTACTCCTTTTCCTATGTGGAACCAGTCTGTCGTTCCATGTCCAGTTCTAACTGTTGCTTCCTGACCTGCATACAGGTTTCTCAAGAGGCAGGTCAGATGGTCTGGTATTCCCATCTCTTCCAGAATTTTCCACAGTTTATTGTGATCCACACAGTCAAAGGCTTTGGCATAGTCAATAAAGAAGAAGTAGACGTTTTTCTGGAACTCTCTTGCTTTTTCAATGATCCAGCGGATATAGGCAATTTGATCTCTGGTTCCTCTGCCTTTTCTAAAATCAGCTTGAACATCTGGAAGTTCATGGTTCACATATTGCTGAAGTCTGGCTTGGAGAATTTTGAGCATTACTTTATTAGCGTGTGAGATGAGTGCAATTGTGCGGTAGTTTGAGCATTCTTTGGCATTGCCTTTCTCTGGGACTGGAATGAAAACTGACCTTTTCCAATCCTATGGCCACTGCTGAGTTTTCCAAATTTGCTGGCGTATTGATTGCAGCACTTTCACAGCATCATCTTTCAGGATTTGAAATAGCTCAACTGGAATTCCATCACCTCCACTAGCTTTGTTTGTAGTGATGCTTCTTAAGGCCCACTTGACTTCACGTTCCAGGATGTCTGGCTCTAGGTGATCACACCATCGTGATTATCTGGGTTGTGAAGATTTTTTTGTACAGTTCTTCTGTGTATTCTTGCCACCTCTTCTTAATATCTTCTGCTTCTGTTAGCTTCCTACCATTTCTGTCCTTTATTGAGCCCATCTTTGCATAAAATGCTCCCTTGTTATCTCTAATTTTCTTGAAGAGATCTCTAGTCTTTCCCATTCTATTGTTTTCCCCTATTTCCTTGCACTGATCCCTGAGGAAGGCTTTTTTATCTCTCCTTGCTATTCTTTGGAACTCTGCATTTAAATGGGTATATCTTTCCTTTACTCCTTTGCTTTTCGCTTCCCTTCTTTTCATAGCTTTTTGTAAGGCCTCCTCAGATAACCATTTTGCCTTTTTGCATTTCTTTTTCTTGGGGATGGTCTTGATCACTGTCTCCTGTACAATGTCACGAACCTCCGTCCATAATTCATCAGGCACTCTGCCTATCAGATCTAGTCTCTTAAATCTATTTTTCACTTCCACTGTATAGTCATAAGAGATTTGATTTAGGTCATACCTGTATGTCTAGTGGTTTTCTCCACATTCTTCAATTTCAGTCTGAATTTGGCAACAAGGAGTTCATGATCTGAGTCACAGTCAGCTCCTGGTCTTGTTTTTGCTGACTGTATAGAGCTTCTCCATCTTCGGCTGGAAAGAATATAATCAATCTGATTTTGGTGTTGACCATCTGGTGATGTCCATGTGTAGAGTCTTCTCATGTGTTGTTGGAAGAGGGTGTTTGCTATGACCAGTGCATTCTCTTGGCAGAATTCTATTAGCCTTTGCCCTGCTTCATTCTGTACTCCAAGGCCAAATTTGCCTGTTACTCCAGGTGTTTCGTGACTTCCTACTTTTGCATTCCAGTCCCCTATAATGAAAAGGACATCTTTTTAGGGTGTTAGTTCTAAAAGGTCCTGTAGGTCTTCACAGAACCGTTCAACTTCAGCTTCTTCAGCATTACTGGTTGGGGCATAGACTTGGATTACCGTGATATTGAATGGTTTGCCTTGGAAACAAACAGAGATCATTCTGTCATTTTCGAGATTGCATCCAAGTACTGCATTTCGGATTCTTTTGTTGACTATGATGGCTACTCCACTTCTTCTAAGGGATTCCTGCCCACAGTAGTAGATATAATGGTCATCTGAGTTAAATTCACCCATTTTGATCAGGACTGCGCTAAATTTGCACGAGTAGCCACCACATGTAGCAAAACCCACTGAGAAGCTGGTATGCAACTTGTTTTACTTTGGTGTAAGAGGGACAGTCCTAACACCTTTCTATGGATTTCAACTCTACTGCTGTAGTCTTACAGCTGGTGCAAGCCGATGCCTTCTGCATGGAAGGAAACCAAGGGCAGAGGCTGTTCTTTTTTTCTGCCTTCACCTTTTTCTGCCTCTTTACTCACCATACTCTGCCAAAGAGTTTCCTATAACACCAACTGAGGCAAATTAAAAGCCAATCTGAATATGTTCATTATTTTAACATGAAGACTAAAGATTTTAAAGTTCAAAAACATGGAAACCACAGTTTTTCCCTAGAAAATAATTTTTGTCTTTTTTTTTTTAAACTAATGGTTACCAGACCCCTGCCAACAGCTTCCAGGAGAATT